CCTTTTAGCTGGGATAAGGGGAGTGGTAAGGCCCGCCCCTGCTATCGCCAACGGAGGAAGTTGTCGATACTCCAACCATTGTTGTTCTGATCATCCTATTGTATTTCCTCTTGGTCCTGTATATAAGACGAAAACTTGGACTATATTTGATCGTACATAGGTAGATAACTCTTTAGATTTTCATTGCTCCTCAGTTTTCCCCTTTTCGTTGTTTCCATATATTAATTTTTATGTTTCTCATTTAATGATAATTACATAAAATAATATATATGTATGAATGAATATTAAAATAGAATGAAATGAAAAATTTTATTTTATTATTCTGGGATGGGACTGTTGTCCCTTTAGAACGAATTATAAATACAGGATAAATGCCAATGTGGCCATACATAAATCAAGTATTTACAAAATAATAGTTGATTAAAAATAAAAATACAGATAAGAAGAGAAAAAAAAAACATACACATATGTATAACAGACATTGGAAACTAGAATAACATAAGGAAACAGTAATAGTCTCTAGGGGCACTTAAAGAGTTCTCTTAGGTATATTTCATGAAGTCTGATTGAGAAAGGATTAGGTGTTTAAAGAGGAGAGGTTTAAAAGAGGAAACTGTTTGTACATGTCTAATATTATAAAGGATAGAATTTCAGACGGAGACAGCTTGGATAATGTAAGAATATGTTTGGGGTGTGAATATTTACTGGGGAAACCTGAATATCATACTTTTTAAATTATGGATTGATGGTTGACTGCAATGAATAATCGAAGAGATTATTGGTTGGGGTGTTCAGTAAAAAAAACAAAACAAATAAATAAATATATATAATTTCTTTATTTTTACATTTTTTTTTTTTACTGAACACCCCAACTAATCTTCTCTTCAATCATATTATTCGTTGACATTTTTTTAGTAATCTACTCTGTATATAATACGGTAGTACTGATCCTTTTACGAAAATTCTCGGAATTGGGGCGTTTAATCTGGAGATCGGCAAACTTTTTATATTTAATTAGGTATTAAAAACTCACGAATAATCATTTGCTATCCACTTGAATCAATTATCCACTTGAATCGTAATAATATGATCAAAAATATTGGTCCGTTTGGCGTTATCTCCACTACCAAAATGTTAAAATAACGAGGTTATATAGGCCAAACGGCCCAATATTTTTGTAGGCCACCTTTTTTTTCCACATTGTTATCATATTATCTTACGATTCAAGTTGAAAGAAAATGGGTGTACATGAGTTTTTATTACCTAATTAGATAAACAAAGTTTACCGATCTCCAGATTGAAAACGTCCCAATTCTGAGAATTTTCGTAAACAGAATATTTGAATGTTACGTTAAGATGAAGCTATTTGCGAAGTTTTGGGATTTTAATAATTTGATAAAAGGGGTCTGTACCACGCCCTAGTATTAATGTCCAACTATTTAACCGGACTGATATTTTCCATTGGTTGGGACAAGCTATTCATTCACTTACTTAGTAAACTGTTACTTAAAGAGTTGTGGTAAAGCATGAAGTTTTACTAATTGTGTGTGTCGAATAGACTTTCTCGGAAATATTAAATTGTATATAAGACGAATAACGTGTTTAGCTGATGCCGCTTATATGCTGAATGCATTGAGATCTATATAGCGTGTGAGTTCTCACTGGGGTATACTAGTCCTCACAATATATTAGATGAATAAATATAATCTGAGAAGGATTTAGTCGAGGGTGCGGTCAGCTTAAATACTTTATATTATAATAGTATTTAATTTGATCACATCCCCCTCCCTCCCACTACTCCTTCACATATTATAATCATGCTCAATCTTCTCCATACCATTAATAAATATAATCGATTAATGTTTAACAGATTTTGATATTTGACCTATTTAACCATTCAATATGGGGAAATCGACTGGGATGACTGCTAAATAAACATTAAGAAGACGGCTCATGATGCGCCCTTGCCCTTTGGGAGATGGGCTGTAACAGAAGGAGGTTCGGAGATCGATCCCTCGGGGCATCACCATCAATGGTGACTAACCCGCACCTCCATCCATCAATTTCCTTTTTTTTTCAATGATAAAAGGCGGATGACAAAGCTGATAAATGGCCATCTGCTTATTTTCATTAAATGGAAATTGCCTATCGGGCCTTCCTCTGCTTCATTTGGTATTGATTGCCTTGAAGAGCCATTGCCGGTCGTGCTGCGTTAAGTTTTTCCCTTGATATTTACAGACTTAAACTTCGTTTATGAATGATTTGTTATTTATATAAAAACTAAGAAAATTATAAACTCCCACTTGCAATTTTCCATTACTTGGATTTGTACAAGTATAAAAATAAATAATCTTTTGCTAGAGATTCATTCGCAATTGCGCTACCTTGCTAAAAAAAAAATCTTGGTAGTTGTTATGTTTAAAAGTTAAATCTTACTGAGTTTAACTTTATTCATTATACGACGACTGAATTTTACTTTGGAAATTTTACTTTCGTATTGTATTTTGCTTTGAAGTATCAAATCGAAATATTAATATTCGGAAGGCCGTTGTTAAACGTATTGGCGTTCTTCGGTCAGAACTAGCGCGCTGCACAGTGTGAAGGAATGCTTTATTCTCCGGACATAGCTTTTTTTACATTAGTCAACTTCAATCAAATCTGCTTAACAAAGATAAAATATTAATTTTTAAAATGTGGAATATAGTTATATATTCTTCTTACACTTTTTGGCAATTTTTGTAACGCCAAGATATATTTTTTCGTAGCTCAAAACCGATCTTGCTGGAAGCTGAAAAAGAACAAAGTAATCAAATAAGTGAATCTTGCAACAGTTAAAATTGGAAGATATGATTTCTTACAAATGCAGGCCTCGAGCTCCAGTAGTTTACCAGTCGAATTCATTCGTCTAAGGCACGGCATTATAACTGGACATCTCTGGAATATTTTCTTATTTTCAGGAGTCTATAAATCGATGCTCAGTGCTAAAAAGATGCACTTCAGATCAACATTCCGTTATATAGAAAAAAAGATCCAATGGAAGGATAATATCTCCTCAATTAGTGTAACTGGAGGAAGTCGGCATTTACCATTTAAGTAAGCTCTGATAATGAAAAGGATAATTGAAAATTAAGCGACCTTTTCTAACAAAATTATTGTGGGAATTGCTTGGGAATCTGGCTTGCTCAAGATAAATACAAATTCTTAATTTAGACTTTGATCTTTGTTGAAGCCTAAAAGTATTTCATTAAAAAAATACAATTTCACAGTGCTTAACAACAGTGCCGGCATTAGATATTCGGCGCCCCCGGGTAATGACGTCATCTTCCCCCAAAAAAATGGTATTTATTTCTTAAGCTGTTGTATATTATGTAATATTTGAATTTTACTTTCTTCGACATTTCTCCAATTACGTTCCTTTATTGATAGGCTAAAATTAATTATTTTAATACGTTTTGTATGTTTTAAAAATTTCGTGGCGAGTGCCCTCTGAAGTTCGGCCAGCCCGAACGGGCGTCCGTACAGGTCGGCGCCCCATGGCAATCGCCCCGGTTGCCCTACCCTAAGGCCGGTACTGCTTTACAATAACCAAGTGGGGAAAAATTAAAAATGATTTATCAATTGGTAAACACTTTAAATGAGTATTTAGGACTTCGATACAAGTTAGGGATATCTTTGATATCGGCGTGGAGCTACTACATTCTTCTACCATCTTAATTTTGGTTTTGGAAACCGATCAGCTTCTTCTTTATTCAACTCGCCAAACATGTGAGCGGGGTGACCAAACTGGCTAACGTGTGTGCACAGCACCGCCGTTATCCGGCTGCCTGATATAGGAGACAATTGATATAAAATAACCATCGTCCTTCTTACTCCTACAACCTTCTCCAATGCAAGTCCTCATTCCATTCCCTTTCAACAAGATCTCGACCTTCTGACCTCTACATCCCTTCGCACAGATGTGCTTCATTTCAGAATTCCTTTATAGCTCGCGCTGTCAATTTCTGGAATTCTCTACCTAACAAAATTCGGCATTCCCCCTCCATATCCACATTCAAATCCCTCCTATTCTAATTCCTATCCCAAAAACAGTCAGATACTTGCTAAACTTTCGATATTATACATTTCTAGTCATCATCAAACGATAGTACTATTCTATACTGTGAACTTCAGTAGGAATATTACAATATCTTCCGGCTCTTAATGCCACTGACCGCATCTATTGTTTTTTTTTATTATTATTTTTTATTGGTATATAATTAAATCTGTACCTCTAGCATTTGACAATGATGAGTCTACATATTAATCATTATTCAAAGACACTGATATTTTATATTGTCAGCTTTGTGTTTTCTTTGTTAGCAGAAAGCCATCTCATTTTAAAGAAGAACTCAATGTATTTTTTATTATTTTATTTTTCAAAACAGTATTATTATAATTTTTCCTACTGTACATAGTCTTAAGTGTTTTATCATAGTTTTAAGTGTTTTGTATATAGATTTTTTTTTTTTTTTGTATATAGCTTGTTTAACTAATATTTTCTTTACTTTCTCTTTTTTATTATTGTTTTATTTTGGCCAGATTTAGTATTTTAATTATGTTCTATTTTGTTATTCTAAAGGGACTTTGTCCCAGAATAAAGTTATTTTCTATTTCTAAAATAGTCACGAGTACGCATCCTGGTGCCGGGGAAGTCTTTTAAATTCCCGCCCACACTCCCTAGTTCGAAAAAAAAAAAACGTGAAAAAAGAAAAGGTCGCCAAATATGAAGAAGTTTGAAGAAATTATATAGTATTTGCGAGTTGAATTTTGTATCATGTGTTTTTTTTTGAGGCCTTGGAAGCTGAGCCTATTTGGTGTAGTACTCTCCAGTCATAAGGAGGTTCGAATCCGGCTAGCGAGGTGTAACGTAGTAATAATTGTTAATCGTAGCTTGCATTTTATTTAAGTTGATATATTCACTCTATTGTCCCCCTACAGCTCCTTTGTTGACCTGTTGCAGTATGGAGAGTGGGCTGCAGCGTGGAGGTAGTGCTGGAGAGCCCCGAAGGAGGGTACTTCCTGAAGCAGCCGGCGGGGCGCGCGGCGGAGCCCCCCGAGCCCCCCGCCCCGGGGCCGCCGGGCGCCGTCCTCACCACCGAGAGGTTCGCCGTGTTCCAGACTTCGCGGCCGCTGGCCGTGCGGGCCTCCTACGGCCCCTTCTCCACCAAGCAGACCGTGCCGGCCCGAAGCCTCGTCGCCGAGCCCAGCTCCAACAGCAGCGACCTGTCCTGGGGCAGGCACCTTGATCTCAGTGCCCATCTAGTCACTAAGACCGTAAGCCTTCTCTTTTTAAAAAATATTATTTTATTTATTTTTTTTAATTCATTGATATTTACAACTGTATAATAATAAAAAAAAAAAAAAGTAAATGAGCACACAGTAATAATACAATCACATGAAAACGCTTGTTGAGAAACTACCCATTGGTAGGGCTCTAATAATATATTTACATAAGTAGATCAGGAGGCCATCTTCTTTTCAGACGCCTCGGAGGATATCAAATGTTAGATTTTCATTCAACTTAATCAACCAGTCAACCAAATTGAATTATATTAAAGTAAAAGTCACAAGGTACTAATTTTTTGTTGGATTAATTTTTAATCGGTGTAAGACAACTTTCAATGACTTAGTTTTCAGAAACCTTTAAATTTTTAAATTGATTGGTAAGATTTCATTTTTATTACTTACTTTTCTACTTTAAAAACGAATTCAATAAATTCATTTAACATGAAATAATTTGCATTCAGTTCAGTAAATAACTATAATTTGGTTATAAAAAAACTGCTATGATGTGGTATTCTTACTCTTGAAATCGGCATTGCTATCGACATTTACTTGTTCTTCAACTTACAAAAATCAATCTAGATAGACATGTATCATTTTCTACACTTACGTCATCACTTATTTTCTATTACTTTATTATCATTTTCTGATTGAATTATGTAGTTTACATTTTCATTATGTTCCTATTTAAAAATATTTTTTTGTGATTTCAGGTGGAAAGGGACTGGCCAGTGATACGGGTGGTGATGCACACTGGAGCAGAGCCTGGAGCTCAGCGAGTATGTGCTGTAGTCCATGCTACCCTTGGTGATGGCCGGGTGACAGGTGCCTGCTCTCCGGATAGCCACGAGGGAATGTGCTTGGTTGAATTGGTTGTGCCGTGGTCCTGGTGGCCACTTTTACCCTCCAGGCGAACGAAGCCTACAAAGGCTCCACCCCGCCTTGTTGCTCTTGCGTATACTGTTATAGAGCCGCTCAAGGGGCCTCAGTGTACTCCAAAAGTTATGATACAAAGTCTCACACCTCTGGGTAGGTTTATACGACTGTAAATCATGACTGAATGTAAATGTGTTAAAAAATGTGAAGTAATACATAATAATTACATTTAACACTTTGCTATTTAGAAAAGTTAAAGTTGTGATTAGTGCTATTGAAAAATAAAGTCTATATTAAAGAGGATTTGCTCTTCTTTTTACAAAGCTGAAAATCAACAATGTATGGATCCCTATTTTATATATGGACTTCCTTAAAATCTTAAACCCCACTGACACTATTAATATTTTTTAAGTTGACCTCTTTCAAATATTCATAAATTGAAAGGATTAAACGCATACAGAAAAAAAAAGAAAAAGTTTTCTTTATGTATAAAGAAAATATTTTTGCTAATCTGAAAATTTATCTAATCCTCCTCTGAAACGTTTATGCTCCTTTCTTAATGTTATCAAGAAATTCCCTACCAACATTAGTCTTGTGTTGATCTAACAGTGGTCTAAACCCATCTGAAATACTTTATCGACTTGTTCTCTGGTGACCCTTTCTATAACCTCTAGCTCAGGACTTGCTTGATCCATTTCATGTCGCTAATTTCCTGACAAATCTCTTCAAGAGAGAACTATTGATACTAAAATTATTCTCTGTAATAGGTCAGTTAATCCAGATATAATACACAAGGCTCACTGCATTGTGTTTCAGTGTCTCCTTCAATTATATATAACTTGATCCCTATGGATGATGTTGGCTGCTGATTCGTGGTAGTTAAAGAGAAACTGTGATTGATAAAAATCAGATTAACAAAACTAGCAAAGATACCTAGAAAAGGAAAACTTTACACCTTGGGAAAACATTGCCTCAAATTTAGAATAATGTTTTTGATGATATTAGCAAAAACTAATTGAGCGGCTTGGAGAAGGTTTCTAAATGAAACTGTAAGTTCTCTATGAAATTTAAACTTTCTGGAAGTTCGAAACAAAGAAGTGATTATAGTTCTGTTCAGCCAGGTGTAAAGTTCAGCCATTTTACAGTACTAAAGAGCTACATACAAAAAATTTGGAAACAATAATTCAAAATTGAAAGAAGCTATTAAGGTTCTATACTATCAAAGAAGGCTAATTAAGTTGGGAAAAGATCTCAATAGTTGATAAAGCCAATATATTGTTTCTGCAGATTATATTGGAGTTACTGTTACTAATTAATATTATTTATGTTCAATCAAGAGAGTTAATGCAGATTTAAACTTGAAGTTAAAGCTAAGAAATCAAAATATATAAATGCATAATCACAAAAATTAAAAATGCTTTTATTGTCAATTTTTTGTAGGAATGGTCCAGCTTGTTCCAGCTAGTCAAGGATACAATACGTTGAGCACTGATAATCACGTTACTATGCTTGTGCCACAGAGGCCGCTTTATCCAACAAGTAAAATTCACATCCCTACTTATGTCACTATTAAACCTCCTGCACATGTGACTGGATTTATGCTGAGGTATTTGTGCTACAATTTTATAATTTAGTTCTTATTAAGTTGTAAATATTATTAAACTTATTGCTTATTAAGATGTGATTAATTTTTTTGGATAATGAATACTACTAATACTAAAGTTCTATATCATCAATATTTTGTAAAAAAAAAATCTCCTTTTTAGATTCAGAGATCTGTACTAATATGTAAAAACATAGCTACTGATGGATAAAAACGGCGAATCGTTAACTTTCATATTCCTCTTGCAGATCCTCTGATGTATTAATGGTGATATTATCACATAATGAAATATCCCATTATACATGTTCTTCTGAAAAATAGTGATTGTTAGATTTGCCTTTTTTTAGAGAACCCTGATGATTTTATGTTTACAAAAAAAGTGACAAAATAGTATTAATGTAACTTTATCTTCTACAAATCACTTTTGGAAATAAATATTACTGATACTCCTCATTTTATAACTCACCAGCTTAACAACCGCTTGCACTGATGAACAATTGAGTTTCTTTACTTCAAAAAATCTTTCTCTGTTCAGGTGTTGGTTGGTAGCAATTACTGACAAGTGACTTTAAATTGTTATATTCAACAATTTCAAAAGAAAAGTTAGAGTGAAAGAGGTGAAGTTCATTGGCGTATCATGCTTCTAACTATTGGTGGGACATGAGTACTATCCAAATTTTGTTATGAATTATATCATTGTTAAAACCTATGTTAAGGTCAAAAACATTAAAAATCTTTAGTTCCAGAATAAACAGAGGATGTGATAATCAAAAATATTAAGGTATCACCTTAGCAACTTTGGTACTGGTTTCAATGTGATCTTGGAGAGCTGCAATATATTTTGTGGCACAATCAAGGAATGAATCTAGACCTTCTCAGGGTAGTTAGGATAGGTTGGATAACCTGTTAGATAACTCTTTACCAGAAATGGCCAGAAAAGGGAAAATATAAAAGAAATTTATATGTTGAAATTTAAATATCATGGATTAGAATATTGAATGTTAAAATACAGCTCAACATGAAATGTTTGAACTTTAAAGGGTTTCAGATAACTTTATTAGGGAAAAAAGAAGATTATCTAGTAAACTCTAATTATCAATTTCTTTTGGACTTTTACATTCAGGAGTTTTACCCTTGTAGGAACAGCTTTTATTTCATAGTTGCTATCTCCATTACCTAGATCCACTGCACGTCTAGAGAAGTAAATAATAAGATTTATTTATGCACGTCTTTTTTATGAACAATTTGAATTTGTATACTTAATCTTTATAATTTTACAATGAACAAATATTCTCAGCGCAATCTCCTTATTTACTGAACAATTAGCTAAACGTCATCAGAACAGAACTGAGTTGTAAAGTGAGGAGTACCTTTATTACTCTGGATGGACCATTTAAATAACTGTATTATTCTTGGAAGCATGTCAATATATTTTTTTTATAAAGTTGGTTTTGGTGATTTTAGTTAGTGTTAATTAATATGTCTTTGTTTATTTCAGAGCAAGAGTAAAAAGTGGACTAAGGGTCTTAGGAGCTGAACTGATTTCAAAGGATGATTGGAATATGACAGTTGAAATTAATCCAAAACAGTCAGTGGCAACAGTTACTGTAATTAACAAACAAACTCAGCAAGATATTGTACCTAGGTAAGTTGATTAATTTTTTAGGCAAATTGAAATGGAATTTGATATACATTTATAGCATAATAATATAATATAATAAGTATACTGTTAGTTTGGAAGAAGACCATTACAATATTTTTTTCCATCTTTTGCATAATCGTGATCATCTTGTGGATTATGATTTCTTAATTTTTTTTTTTTATACTGGCTTTCTTCTAAGTTATATATATATATTCTTTGTATTTATAAAGTATATTTTAAGGGATATATACATATATACAACCACAAACATACCATACTATGAAAAGTTGGTTTTGGCGTCTTCTTTTTCCTTACTAATAATATAATATAAGTAGAAAAAATTAATAATAGTTGTAGGCTTTTGACTAATTTTAACTTGTGGTTATTACCTACATTAAAGGGGAGTTAGGCTGGTGCCGGGATTCAAACTTGTGTTCTTTATGTTATTACTTTTATGGTCTACCTATTAAGTTGCACTGGTCCCCTTTGCATAATAATTATTATATTATAACTATATTTTTTTTTTTTTTATTAAAAACAATTTATTCAGAAATATTACAATTTGTCACAGATAACTATATTATAATTATTAAGTAATGTTAAAATTATAATATATTAGCTATTACAGGTAACATATATTTCTTTTCTACAAGTTATTTGTAAAAATTTAGGACGGAAGAAGTTTTTGTCTGGATTGTTGAAGTTGCGGGTGGTGGATCTAGCGTTTTATGGCAAGAAGGAAAACTTGTTTGGAGTGTAAGGTATTTAAATGATAAAGGACCTCATCACCATGGAAAACATAAAACACCTGTTAGAATACATATAAATAAAGATGATATACATGCGCTTATCCCTATATCTAAGGTAATACTTATTTTTATATTATTTGATCTTCATATAAACAAAATATTTATGATTCAACTGCTGTTTAAACATTTTATTTACAGAATTGGGAAGTTGTTAATAGTGCAGTGCTGACAGGAAAACAGGTTAGTCAAGGAATGAAAGTCGTAATGGTATCTCATGGTGGTCATTTAGCAGATGTTACGTTGCAAGCTTCCTGCCATGTTCCCGATGACAGTGTGATTAAGGTAAGCCAGGAAAAATTATGAAAACAAAATTAAGTTGTATAAATTTCAAGATTGATAATATTTTATCTCCCTTCTATCTGGAACTGCATTTTGTAATTTCAAATTTTAGTCATCAGCTTGTTGACAGAACCATTAAAGTTTGACTAGTTTCTAAATGACTTCTCTGAATGTAGACGTATCTTCCATTCTATAGTATGTGTATCAGTATGTATTTTTATAGGTATCGTCATCTTGTAGCTCTGTTTATGTTGATGGATCAGAAGTCCGCGGATCAGCAAATGCCAGTGTTGTTGTCAGCTATGGAAACCTTGCCGCATTGGCTAGTTTTACTGTTTGGATGCCAGAATTGCCTGTTGAAGTGTCTTTACCAGATACTCGACTTAGCCAAGTAAAAGGGTGGAGAGTACCTGATTTGAGGTAAATTACTTTTTAATAACTATTTTTTATAAATTATATTTCTAGTTATACCTATCATTCCACAATTTATCATGTTAATATACTTATTTTGTATTTATTTCATATTTTAAATAAATAACAAATTGTAACTTACTAAGTTTGGATAAAAAAAAAAAAAAAACTGTCAACTAATGAAGTGATACCTTAGGAGTGGAAAGACAAAAAGAAGCCTCAGTATTGATGCAGGGAATGGAAGGATATCAATCCTTACAGAAGATAATACTGTTGATAAAACTACAGCTTGTCGCCTGCGTTATCAACAGACTAATGTAGAGGTACGTCTGTTTATTCTTATTTATGACTGCATGAACAAAAATATATATCTCTGATATATTGACCTCTTCTCATTACACATGTCTTGCATTTCCAACAATTTTGATCTGAATAACACATTTAGAAGCTAATCCATCCTAAAAACCTTAATATGTTGAAATCTTTGTATTACTTTTTCAATATTGGTAATATACTTCTTAATCAGTGAATTATAGTTCATCTTTCTCTATTTCTTGCATGTTTTCCAGAATCAGATTTCTCTCAGTTTTTCAACAGGTATTCATTCATTGAATTAATAACTGGCTGAAGCTGTTTAATAATTAATTTGCTAATAATTACAATTATTCTTTTTCCACCTTTTTCAGGTGTGATTGCTTTCTAGGCCTTCAATATTATAGTGAATTTATTATCCAGTTCTACTTCTTCCACTGACTTGAAAGGTGTCATTTTTTTCTTTTTCTCCCTACCTGACTATTACTGGTATATTAGATGCTTATCCTACTGGCTACAACCTATTCTAGTGAGAGTAAGAAAATTGAGATTCATTCCGTCGGTCCTGCCTAGGCCAGATTTGTCTAGACATCACTTGATTCGATGTTCCCAAAATGACGCCTTAACACTCTTCTGAAGTATTTAATGTGTCTATAAATCTCTCTTTTCAATAGAAGTACTATATAATTCTATGACAGTCTGTAGACTAAATTCATCTGACCTTTATATTACCCGTGACTTAAAGCCGTTAGTTATAACTGGTCTTATATAGACAATTTTTAGTTTTTCTTGATAGATTGTTACTTCTTATTTATCTTCTGATTCTGAATGAACCAATGTTAGTAATCTATTCTCCTCTCAATTATTTTTAAGATATCATTACCTGAAGTTATCAGGGCCCCAGCTAGAGACAAATTCATCCACTTATTCAAGGCATATAAGCCAAACTGATCAGAATTTACGAAGGTGTAAATTCAGAGATCGTATACTTGGTTTTTGTTATATTTACACGTTGCACTTGTCATTCAGCTGTTGATAATATCAAAGTCATTTGCATGTACAAGGACCTGGATCATTTTATCATTCTACCTGAAGTATTTTAATGCAAGAGATGCACAGACCTAGATTCTATTACACCTTTTGCCAATAAAATAATAGAAATCAGGCATGCCAGAGCCATAATATTATAAATACTATTTAAAATTTTATGGTTATAATAGATAGAATTATATTTTATAGTTAAAATTTTTGTATCCTAACAGTTTAATTATTTCCAAAGGATCTCAGAAAATAATCATTATTTCTTCATTGGTATATTATTGTTCCTTCATAACTATTCATTTGTGTAAATGTATGTATATATACTTCATAAAATGATTATTTATCTCTGAAATAGTCAGGGACCAGTATGTCTGACTACTATGATAAAATCACTGAAATATATCATAAATTGTAACCAGGTCAGGAATGTATTTATAGTTTTATAAATGTAAACTTCTTTTATTTAAATAATTAGTACATTATTTTTTTAAATAGGTTTATGCAAGATTTGTTGCTGCAGACCATGATTCCGGACGTGTTTCATACCTGGTTAATAGGAGAACATGGTTAAGAGTTACGCAGCTAGTTTTAGGACTTTTACGGGTTTCAGATACAAGAATAGCAACTCTACAAGGAAACATTCTTCAGGGTAGAGCTCCAGGGAGAACAGAATTACAAGTGTGTTTAACAAAATGTTTATAGAAATTTGTTATTTATCATTTAAGTTAATATTTTAATCATTAAAATGCCAATTTAGTTTCTTATATTAAATTTTGGTAAAAAATAATTATTCAAAGAAAGAAATTAAAACCCAAATCTATTAGTTGTCGATCACGTACTAGTTTTTATTATATATTTACAATGATCCTAGAAAATAGTTTCCCTTATTTTAGTTTTTTGGTTTTTCATTTTTGCTATAATAGGTATAAAATATTAATAGTAAAACATATACATACATATAAAAAATGAAACATAGGTGTACTGACTATGTTTTTTTTTTTTTTTAAATGAACACAAATTTAAGTGACTAAAAGAAATTTTCATTTTATAGGTTTGAAATTGTTAATTGAGCTGTATAGTATGCCATTTGATAAGTGAAGTTTATTCTACCCAAATAGCTTATTCTGATTTTATTAAATTCTTTAGTTCTGATAAGTAGCCTAAATTTGAAATTACCATAGTTCATTAATTTCTTATTACTTTGATAGGTTGTTAGTGCTGTCTCAGGAAGAGTTCTTGGGGCCAAAGAAGTTAGAGTTTTGAGTGATAAAGTGACAATCACTCGACTTGCTGCAAGTGTAGTATCTGGTCTACAATTGGCTATTTCACCAGATACTGGAGTCGACAATGGTTATATTGCCCAGGCTTCTGTAACAAGAAAATTGACAGCACAATACCAGGTAAATCAAATTTTTTTTTCTGACATTTATTTTTAAAAGGTCCTCTACATCCTTAAAACCATTAATTCAAATTCATTTTATAGTGTAAAAAAAAGCATATGAATAATTTCTGTTTGAAGTTTTTCAAACCAAACCTTTTGAGAAATTACGTTTTTATAATAATGACACCAAGTTGCACAATTTTAACACTCCTCTATTATTTCATGAATTTGATGAAAATTGCTTAGATCTTTCATTTAACTGATTGCAGGAAGGACTTTTAGACATGGAACTAGTTTTTTCGGATGGAACTACAACTTCAGTTTCAAGAATTGAGCGAGAAGACTATCAGCTAGTTGTTGAAACAGAAAGACCTGATATAGTTGCCTTTGCTCCTCAAACACCTATGTCCCAACCAAGGGTCATAGCAGTTTCACAAGGCCGTGGTAATCTTCTAACAGTTACTGTGCACCCTCCTACACTATGTGGTTCCAAGGTTCCATTGGCGTCTACTCATGCACATGTAAGGAAATAAAATAATTATCTTTTTTATTATTTATTGTAGTTACAGTTTGTTATATTTTAATTCCTAGCTTATTCATCATTTTTAGTTAATAAACAATTATTTTGATTGAAGTATGGTTTTATTATGGCAAGGTTCTAGATTCAAAATTCCTATAGTTTGGAATGAGTACGGTTGGAGTAGAATAATTATTTTCTTAATAATAATATATAGTATGAATAATTATAATTATGGTGAATTGATTCTTTGGTCCCATTCGTGCTCACCCAGCTTATTGGAAAGTTTGGTTTGACACTTGAACAGATTAGGCGGAAAAAAAATGGCAACATTTTTTTTTCTCGGAATAAACGGATGATAGATACCTAAATATTTAGATATAATATCAGATCTAGAGTTATTAAACTACAGTAAATATATTTAAGGTTATAAGCGTATCTATGAAATCTTTTTATATTTCACTTCTTCTTTCACACAAGTATAATGAAATAGTAGTGGATACTGTTGGAATATTACAAAAGGAAGATTCATCAAATGATTCAGTAATTTAATTTTCTAAAAGGTTGCATGACAATATTTTGGAATAAACGGACGTTGATGCCTAATTATTTAAATATAATATCAGATCTAGAATTATTAAAACACACTAAATGTATTTAAGGTTATAAACATATTATTTATACATCCATGAAATGATTTTATATTTTACTTCTTCTTTCATACAAGGACAATAAAATAGTGTTTTTAAACAATGCCATTGCCTTGATTAGGTGGATTTTCAATACTTTTTCAAACTTAAAAATATTTTAAAAGTTTACATTTAGTTAGTAAATTTCATTTAATTTTCTTGATAACATGTGATTTAGGTTAAATATAATTAGTTTTCAAAAATTATTATTTATAATTTGTTCGCCACTCTCCGTTACCTCCTACAACTTTCTGTATTAGATATTGTTTTTTTCTAAAATTCTCCGCTTTCCAACGATATATTGTTCGTTTACCTTCTGACTGGTATTTCCGGAGATTCATTTTCGATCTGGATGAGCATTTTTATTTTTTTCTCCTTAATTAACTTATCAAGTTCTTTCAAAAGTTATATCTAGCATTTTTTCATAAATCTGAATAATCTGAAAAGATTAGCTTTTTAAAATAAGCCATATTAAAGTTACTTTAAAGGAAGACGTATATGAACATTGGTTATTTAAACCCTGTAAAGTGATATCAATTGGGATAAGACCTGATTGATATTAAAGATCATTTAATTATACAATGATACACTGAGTTTAATAAAAATCGTTAGAGCCGTTTTTGAGAAAATGTGTTTCAGCGTTGATATAAAGTGGCACTTACAGTTAGCCGATTTTAAGGAAATAGTTGCTGTCACATTTAAGGCATATACCTATCCTAAATAAATAATATAAGTTCTATAGGACTTTTTGTTTTTGAGCTAGACTGTTAACATACACACACACACAGACCATTTTTCGGGACTTGATTATTTAGACTCAGGGTACCCCAAAACGTGTATTTCCGTTGAAAACTCAGATTCAAAAATGTTCACAATCCGCAATACTTACCCTTACTATATATTAGATATATACTTAAGTGAAAGTAAAAATATAAATGACATTTGTTATTTTACAGCTGGTACTCTATTATATGGTTATAATAATCAGTGTTATTCTTTTAGGTGGATATTGATTTTAATACTGGTTTAACGGGCAACCGTCCAGAATTAGTTCAGAATGATGGAGGAGCCCATAGAGAAATATCAGCTGACCTTCATGATATTTTTATAGGTAATATTGAGTATTTTCATAAATATTTGTTAGCAATCCAAATTTGACTCATGATAATCAGATGCAAATACAGTTGTTTAATTATGTTTACATTTCCTGTATTAGTGGCTTTATTGTAAATTGATTTTGGATTCAGGAATCAGCAGCCCCTTTGCAATTTTGTGTTATATACATTTGTGTAAATATTTAAAATTTGTTGTTAATTTTCTCTCTTATTTGAACTCTTTAAGATAGTCAAGAAATATTTCTTTTTCTTTTTTTAAATTTAACATTTCTTATCTTTTGGAAGTTATTGAGATACTCAATTGTATCCTACAAGGAAAAATAACAAACACATTACTTTTTCGATCATTACTTGATTTAGGTTAAATTAGTCACTCAGATATGATCAGATGCACTCATGGAACCAACAAATGAATTCTTCTTTTTACTGAGTGAGAAATAAATAAAAAATTGAGAGGCCTTTATAATTTATTATGGCTATTATCATAGCTCTTTTAAAGAAATATAGTTTCATTAATTTTAATTAGGGAATTACCAGGTAGGCTTTAGAAGAAGTAGATCAACCTCCGACCAGCTTTTCTCATTAAGAATGACACTTGAGAAGTGTAAGGAGTACCAGATCACGACTCATCATCTCTTTGTCGACTTCAAGGCTGTGTACGACAGTATAGACTAGATGGAGTTCTATCAGATCCTTATGGAAATGGAAATACTGAAAAAGCTCTTACGACTTGTAAAAATGACCTTGAGGAATTCAATGTGCATAGTATATATTGGAGCCGATGTTTCGGAGGACTTCTGTGCAGATAATGGAGTGAGGCAGAGAGATGCACTTGCATGCTTGCTTTTCAATCTAGCTGCAGAAGAGCTGTTAGGAGATCAGGTATTCAGCTTGTTGGGACCTTGTTCAACAGACTGGTGCAGCTGCTGGGTTTTTCTGACGATTTTGACATAATGGCCAGATCCAAACGAGTCCTAAGAGAAGCATTTTTCGCCCTTGAGGAAGCTGCAAAAAAAGTTGGATTAAAAGTAAACCAGCAAAAAATAAAGTATATGCTGGTTGAAGGGCTAGGAAACAACAAGGAGTACTTTGAGGTTGAACAGTACAGATTCCAGGTGGTCAATAACTTCATCTACTTGGGAAGCGAGATGAACTCCCAAAATGTTATCTCCCAAGAAATTAAGCATAGGATAATAACCGCTAACAGGTACTACTACAGTTTATCAAAAAACTTCAGGAGCCAACATATTTCAAGGAAGACAAAAATCAGCCTGTATAAAACTATAGTCCGTCCAGCACTAATTTATGGATCGGAGGCATGGGCCATTAAGAAGGCGGATTAAAAACGGCTCTTGGTGTTCGAAAGGGGGATATTGAGGCGGATATGCGGACCCATCAAAGTTGGCAAGACATGGAGAAGACGAAAGAACCTAAAATTATACAGGCTCTTTGAAGACTGTGAGATCTCCAAAGTCATAAAACTTGGAAGACTTCAATGTGCTGGCCATCCAGGCAGAATGGAGAATAGCTAGATTCCGAAGAAAGTGGCCACAGAAGAGAGGGATGAGGAGAGTGGGACCACCGAACGTAAGGTGGATGGATTGTGTGACTGAAGATGCTAGGACTCTTCTAGTAGTGCGGGACTGGAGGACTGCTGCACAGGATAGGGCCAACTGGCGGTGGCTACTTGAGAACCCCGGACTCGGTGATGAGTTGTTGAGCCGCTGTGTGTGTGTATACTTCATCTATGAACCAACCTCGTAAACAATAATCCAGTAACCTGAGGTCTGGAGATCTTGGAAGCAACTGATTGGACCACTGTGACCAGTCCAATGATCTGGAAACCTTTCATCCAACTGTTGTCTCATGTGACCAGTGAAATGTGTGGAAACTCTATCTTGCTGAAAGTGCATTTGCATTTTGATGTTTAGAGGTACATTCTCTATTTGTCCTAGTAATTCAAATCATAAAAAAATTCTAATTACTAATTTGTAGGCTCCTGTGAGGGGATACTGTAAAATAACCATCGAGAATATCAAACCAAGATCGTAACTTGTTTACACTCTGTTGTAAACTAGATCATAATGCTAATACCGAAATACTGTTACATGTTTCAAATATTGCTTATTATAAAAACGGAATAAGAACATATGAGTTTTTAAGATTATTTTCCTTTGAAGAATCCACTCCTAGAGTTTGCACCTCCCCACTCCTCATATGTATATTGCTAAAAGTCACCAAGTACATTTTTGATGGAATTTAACTTTTAAGAAAGTTTTTGTTAGTTTTGAACTTTTTTATCAATGAAAAAACACAGTAAGTGCACTAATATGACACAAATCCTTTTATGTATCAAATATAATTATAACAAGTGAACACTTTTCTGGATTCACAATAAATACTATACTGTAGTATTTATTTTTTACAGGAATACCTCTTAAAGATGAACACAATCATGAACCAACAGTACAGGCTCGACAACATGGAATGAATGGAGGAAATGGTGTTGGAATCACTAGCACTCATCATCTGTCACTACTTGAGATTGGAATGTATATTCTATTAGCTGTGTTCTGCTGTGCAATAGTTATTTTTGTGGTGTCATGTGTTGTATATGCCAACCGATTTAAAGACGGAGCAGGAGGAGGGCCCCTCGCACCATCTTCTGGGGGTCCTGCCCTTCCTGCTCAGAATGCACATGATTGGGTTTGGATGGGAAGGTCAACACTGCATGTTACAGATAATCCAATGTACCATGGGAATTCTTTTCACAATCCGAATCACATTGATCTACCTTCGCAATCTCATCATTGGTAAGTGGTAAATAATTTTTGTTAACAAAGATGTGAAATTTAGTGTAATTATCAATGTAAAGAAAAAAACAAAACAATTTTACAAATGTAATTTTAGCTACAAACTTTAATTTTTATTATTTATAGCAAATTCTTTATTGTAATCACAATATTTTCAATTCATTCATTAGTATGGCATTATTTCCTTATTCCTTCTTGAATATTTTTTTTTATATTATTAAATATTTGTAATAGATTTTTACACCACTTTTTTGCAGTGTTAATAGAGAAAATAAAGATATCTGCATTCCACCTCCAGTTCCTCCCCATGGTGTCGAGTATCGGCCTCCTGTTCCTCCCCATAGAAAGCAACCACTTCCGCCTCCACCAGTACCACAAGAGAATGGTATAGGAGTAAGAAAACATCATCATCATCACCACAAAAGGGGTAGACAAGGGGTCGGAACTAAAGCAGCTAGAGCAACAGTTGTAGGCAATCCGATGTTTGGTGCCGGTGACCCTGGCCTAGCTCTTGAAGAGCTGAATCTTGGAATGGACTACAATCAGATCATGGAGTATTTTGACAACCTAAAAGAGTCAAATGCTTGACTTGTTTTATCTTATCTATACCCAATGGCTCCTTCCTTGAAATATTGACAATAATGCACCTGTTTCTTTATCAATAAGTTGCCTGTTTACTAATCTCAATCACTTAAAAAATGATTCCATGTTCGCTATCTATCCTCTACTTCACAGCATTGCTTTCAGTAAAAGTCAAATAACTAATTATATGCTGAGAATGTTGATTCTGTTTAGTAGCTACCAATTCATTTCAAGTTCAATGAAACAAGACCAACACATTTTTTATAAGTTAAAAAGAAAAAAAGAGATATTTTTCAAATTTTCAAATATATTGTTCTGAACTCATAAGAAAGAAAAAATAATCAATGATTAAATTATTGAACAAAAAATATTTTAAGTAATTTAATAGTCAATTCATCTATAAATCAGTCAGTAGTATGTTTTTGGAAATTAACAGTTTAATCGACTTTTATTTCTTTGTGTCTGCTGTATTTAAAAAAAAAAATAATAAGTTATGGAGAATTGAGTTTTATTTTTTATTTTACTTCATAGATAATATGGTATTTTTTTTATTTACCAACAATTTTTTTTCATCCTAAAATTGTTCTTTTTATGTCTTATAAATTCAAATGGTACCAATAAAATGGAAATTTCAATGTCTTCAACTAATGCACCAGTTTTAACATTTGTGCAGTTTTATATTTATTAGATGAGAGCCATTGAATTTTTTTTGTAACTTATGGTTGTCAAATTAAAAATCCTAATAAAATAATATAAAGCAAGTCATTGACCAAGTATGCACTGAATTTGGTTGTGTTTATGTAGTCTTTAATATTAATCCAGTAATTTATTTTAAAATGGGTATTTATGTGTCCTTCTACCTTCTTCTAAGTAAGTAAGAGAGCCAAAGTGATATTTATAAGAAGTTTTAGCTGAAACGTGACAGTCTGAAACAGCTGGTCATGAGAGAAACTTATGTACAAAAAGTAAGATAGGTTTGTTTAAATCTTTTAAAAGGAATACAAAAGAATCTTGTCTATTTTAGCCTTCTTTCTGGGGGCAAAAAGGACCTATAACTGTTGCACTTCCTTCATTAAATTAAACAAAATCGGACATGTAAAAAAATTGAAATACCACCCTCATTTATTTTATTTTTTAAGACATGATAATTTTATTTTGAGTTTATGACTGGTGGTATTTATAATTAAAACATGTTAAATTTAAATAATAAATATTCATAGCGGGTAGGAATCTGTGCCATATCTGTTTTAAAATTAAAAATCCTGTTTTGTTTTAATATATAATTTTTATTATTTATTTATTAGCATAATGATAATTTTGCTGATGGTTAAATATTATATTAAAAACATTGAAGGAAATCATTAGTGAATTACAGCTTTAAAAATATAGATATTGTTAGTTATATCCAAATAATTTTTCTTTTTTATTGATAATTAAGATTTATTATTAATTTAAGATGTTTTGAACTTGCTAGGTTAAAATATGATTTAAGAACCATTGTTTACTATTTTAGATGAATGAGTTGGGGGATGAAAATTAAAACTAGATGGATCCAGCTAGAACTTTGTTGTGTTATGAATAAGCAAATTATGAATTGCTATAAGTAAGAAAATATCTTCCCCATCAAATCTATAACAAGATACTTGCTAAAGGAACTTTTTTTAAAAATTCTGAAATGGAAAAATATCTTATCTTTTAAACAGAAGGGTGCTGTGATAACAATCCAGATTATTTATTAATATTGGTTAATTAATCTCATTTTGACCTATGCTATGAACAGAAATCAATGTTTTTGTTTCCAATACAATACTTGTTATTTTCTGATGCTTAACCTTTGTCATTGTTTTTGCTGCCACTTTATAGAATTTATCATTTAAACCTTTTAAAAGGGTATTCATACTTAAAGGTCACTCGTTATTATTAATACTTATGTTCCTATAAAAGTAATAACATGAAAAAGGAAGGAATAGTAATCATTTCTGCATTTTTATTTCCATTAATATGATTATTAAAGCTGTAATATTAAAAAAAAAAACTATTTATATTAGCTTGGAAAATTGTATTTAATTTTATGTAGTGTACATAAGACTATATCAAAGCATATATTATATGGTACTATCTGAAATATTAGTATTTATACTGTGAATGGAATAAAATATCTTAATATTTATAAATATATTATTTAAACTTCATATATTGAAGAGTTTCACTGTTAAATTGTAATGGAGTTTATTATTTATTTTATATAGAATACATTCCTATTAGTATTAGATATAATTAAGCAGAATGTATATAATTCTGTATGATTAAAGACTTCTTTTGGGAAATACTGTTACTGTCTTAATTAAAAAATCTGTTGCTTTTTTAAAGTGCCATATTAAAAAGCTAATAACAGCACTTATATATTACATATTTTGTGTGTCACCTGCTTTTCTTTTTGGGTAATCCTTAAGTGCCATGGTAATAAATTTCACACATGCATCGTTTACCACAAGAAGTCTTCAATTATAGTTCAAACTATGGTTACCAAAACCTCCCGCTATGGATAATGTGCCTCACTGTTAATCTCGAAGGCTGCTGTTCACACTGAAGTTGTGAGCGAATTTTCTAGTCAGCATTGCACAAGCTTTACAGCGCCTTCATTTGTGACTGTGTCTAAAATGTGAGAGTTTTATTTTACCAAATGTTTAATTATTTTATATTTAATTATATACATATTATTTGTACATATAATAATGGAATGCTGGAACTATTAATTCCAAATATAAAATATGCTCTATGCATTTCTATGTATTTATAACTATAAGGCTGATGTTTAATACTCGAGTAGGTTTTAAGATTTATCAATTGAGATATATATGTATAAACTTATATATATATTATAAATAAATATAAAGCTGTATTTTAAATTGTTATTATTTGCCATTTAAGACACAGTCAGATGCCATTCCTTAAATGCTTTGTGTGCTTATCTTGTGATATATTCCCTCTTTGTACATTTTGCGTTGTAATATTTTGTAAATACCAAACTTTTTTGTGTGTATAAATGGATGATCTGTTGCAGGTTTTTATTTTGTAGTCATAATGTGTTCCTTGTTGTATCCATAAGAAAAATGTGTTTTATTGTTAGCTAAATATAAATATATATAAAACATGAAAACTGCTGATATATATCAAAATAGCTTTTAGACGTTAGAAAGATGTGCTTCTATAACCCAGTTATGTAAATTGAACTGTTAAGAACAACTCCCTCCATTAAAGTATAGCTAATCACAAAATGTTATAACTATTTTTGTGTTAATTTCACTCTTGTACAAACTTGAAAAACTCTTTATTCTCAGGTCTTCCTTATTTTTATCACATTTTTTGTTACCTGATATTTTTATAATTTATTTCATGTAACCATATTATTTTAATTGTTATTGTTATTGAAGTTGGTACTGAGGGTTAAAGATATAATGCTGTAGCTTGTAAATTATAAGAAATTAAGAAAATATGGAGCTCTTCCATAATAATTTTGTTTTTAAACAGAATCAGAAAATGACTGCACCTTGAAGTATACTATCTTTTTAAGTTATTAATTATGTTTTTATTGTATTATGTCCATGCCACTTCGATCTCAGCTTTAATATGCAGCATATATATTTAATTGAATTTTGTTATGAAGTTTCAATGAACAATTTTGTACTGTACTTAAATACTACTTAGGTCTGTAGCATATGTGAGTGTTGTCATGGAAAAGCGTGTGATTCAATAAAATTTGTTTAATGGGTGTTATAATCAATGTAAATGACATTTTGCACGATTGTATTCCATGGTATAAAACATAATTTATGAATTAGTTTATGAATTATATGTTTTAAGAATGATAAATTCACTGTTATAATGGTTTAAATAAAAAGAGATTATATAATACATGTTTGATACATATCACATTTTTATAAATTAAGGTGTACAAGTTCAATTTACAAACAGATTTTCAGATTTAAAACATTATAAAATTTAGGAACCATTAATAGTAAGTTCAGAAATATTTATATTACATTATTTGTGATCATTAGATAAAAATATTTCTTTCAAAATAAATGATTATTTAGAATGTAAAAAAATATGAAAGCATTTATTTTTTTCGACTTTCTAATTGTTGATTTTTTTTATTGTGATGATTGATTAGATGTGTTTCATCTATATTTAAAGATTTCTGCTGGGATTTTGTTCATTCTTACCTAATTAGTTGAGATAAAACTAAATGATCCTTTGCGTATCAGTATCATGGTTCATATAAAAATTTTATTTATTCATTTAGCACTTACTGTCTCTACTTATATTTCATGTAATTTGGAGGGTTGAAGCTTAGATTGTCCAGTGCAGATTTTACCGAATCATGTCCACATCTTTGGCATAGGTATGCATTTGTTTCTAGATTAAACTATATGTACAGTAATCCCTAAACATTTATCAGGGTTATTTTCCATTAGAATCTTGAGTTCATGAATTATGTCTTTGTTTCTTTTTGAATACATTTTATGAAGACCAACAAAGTACAGAACGCAGATATTTTAAAAAATATTTGTAATTCATTATTTGAAATATTTACTTAAACATATATTCATAAATTCAGATCAATTTTTGCTCAAAAATTAATGTCTTATTTGTCGCTGCGATTGTTTCTTGTGAAGTTCAACCTTGTGATTTCCATTTCCCTCTTACTTTTCTAAGTTTTTTGTGTTGATATTCAATATTTTATTGAACTAGTTATTGTTAAGGAGTAAGACATAGGTTTTAATAAATTTTAAGTGTGTATAGTTCTTCTTTTCATCTAATTAATAAACCACTCAAATTTTTATATTCTTCCTTAATTTAGGTATCGTTTTGACTGTTAAAAAATGTCGGTTTTATTAACTCTGAACAAAAAAAGATTGAATTTGTTCATATAGATTTTTGTTCCATCCATTTAATGAGTGAAAACATACCTATTAAGTACATATATATGTTTAATACGTATATACATACTATACATGGAATTTTTTATGTTTGTAATTTTTTTGTTATTTTAAAAAGTCAAATGTACATTTCCCAAAGGTGGAACTCTACTACATTTTTGTATTAGCTGATGCTAAAAAATCATGGAGATTAAACCTTCGAATGTTAAGAGGTTACTATATTTCTTCTGAAGATTTGATTCTCAAATGAAAAATTATAAACCTTCTAATATAGGAAATTGCGGTCTTCAGTTAGGATCTTGGCGAGAGATCGAGAAATGTCTAAATTAGCTAATGTTCTGCTGTACTTAAAACAGCAGATACAAATTTATAGATACTGCAACTCAATATCAATAAATTTATGGTAAGAAAATAAGACAGGGACGTATAAATCTTTCTGTTATACTATGGTGCTTTATGTACATTCTCAAACAATGAGTTTCCTCAATTATTAATTAAGGAAAGTTTCCTGTGGTTCAAACATTTTGTTTGTGGCTGGAAATTGTTGGTGGAATTGGTCCACTTTTTAATTAGGAGTTTTAGGAAGAAGAAGACAAATACCTGGAAGACTGCTGAATGATGATGCTCGCCCAAGGCAGCTGAAATAGGGAGGAGGATGCAGACCTTTATTAGTTTGGAGATAAACATAATACACAAAAGTAACACAAAACTTTCAGCATAGTGCTACTACTAATGAATCCCACATAGCCAAAAGGCTAGGAAGGGATGTAAATTAATGAATGATTTAAAATTGATATAATTTAAATTATAACAATGCTCGAAGAATGGAAGTGAAAAGGATTTAGGTGTCATCTGAAAAATTATAATTTTTTTTTGCAGATTACATGTCTATGTGCTGATTCCACCTAAATGTGATAAATAGTATAAATTTGATAAGTATTATAAATGTGATGTATTGTCCAGGCAATGAATGCTCAAAATTAAATGTATTAATTAACAATTTGACTGTACACAGTTGTTTAAGAATTGACTTTTCATAAATAATTTATGAATTTTATAATTTGAAGAAATAAATGTTACAATAATTATATAAAAAAATATATAAACAAATAAATAAGCTAAATATAAATAAATGTAAATAAAAAAGCTAAATACCTTTGAAAGAATTGGATAGTTGAATAATAGAGAAAAAAAGAAAAATGCTTATCCAGGTCGAAAATGAATCTCTGGAAATAATAATCAGAAGGTATAATATATCGTTGGAAAGCAGAGAATTTTAGAGAAAATAATATCAAATAATTAAAGTCATAGAAGATTATAGAGAGTGACGAAAAAAATATAAATAATAATTTCATAAAAGTAACATTATTTAACGTAAATCACATGGTTCCAAGGAAATTAAATGAAATTGTCTTACCAAATGTAGAGTTTAATTTTTTTTTTAAGTTTTAAAAAAAGTATTTAAAATCCATCTAATCAGTGGCTCTACAGGGTAGAGGCAACAAAACATCAAATAAATAAATAAATAATCAATGCAATGGCATTATTTAAAATACTATTACATTGTACCTGTGTGAAAGAAGAAGTGAAATATAAAAATATTTCATGGATATGTTTATAACCTTAAATACACTTACGGTAGTTTAACAACTCTAGATATGATATTATATTTAAATAATTAGGTATATACTAGCCATTTATTCGCAAAAATCATTAAGTAACCCTTTAGAAAATTAGATTAGTTAAAAATTTGATAAATTTTCCCTTTGTGAAATCCCAACATTATCCAATTAATGTGATAATTTTTGACCTATCCATGGCAGGCAATGAAAATCTTGTAATTTCATTTTAGTAAACTTTATAATGGAAAATAACAGTTTTATAACTAATAGTCCTACAATTCATAATCATTTATAAGTTAAATTTTCAGATGGACTTTCAAATCTCTTTAGACATATATCAGCCTTTCGGTTGACAGAATGACTTAACTCCAATTTAAATATTCTTTATTATTAATTTAGTGAGAAAATTTATACCTTTATTCAAAATTCTATATTTTAACTCTGCTATCACCTACTCTGGCATCAACTTATTCTCTGTATACAGTGGGCAAAAAAAGTATTTGTACAACCCTTTTTTTTGGCTGAAATGGTTCATTATATGACTTGAACTTGAAATGATGGCAGATATCAATTACAAATTTCATTTGGTGTTAATTTTAAGTAGTGCTAAAATTTAAAATCTCATACAACTTTTATGATATTAATATTTCAATAATCTGTACACAAAAAAATATTCGTACACTAGAGCAAGTATTAATAATACAATTTTTTTGTTATCAGAACAGTGTTTTAAGGTTCTATTAATAATTCTTTAGGTCTTAGCATTAAACTAAAAAACTGCACATGAAATCGGTTCAGTTCAGAACTAAAGAATATTTCTTGGAAATGGGTCATATGTCCAAAGAATTGAATTTTCATCTTAAAGATGACAATGTAAAACATTTTCAACAAGGTTTAAGTTTGCGGAATATTGAAAAAAAGTTCGGACTATCAGATACGAAAGTGCAATTCATTATAAAAAAAAATTAAAAATGGATCAATGGGAAATAAATCTCCCCAGGAAGAAAACGTTTGTTAATAATGGTGCGAGAATCTCGTGAAATTGTGGGTATAGTGGCAAAAAATCCCAAATTAAGTGCTGCAGAGGTTTCGGCTCACATCGCGTCAGCTTATGAAGAATCTTTAACACCTTCAACCATGAGGATTCGGCTACATGAAGCTGGCTATACAGGTAGAGCAATAAGAAAAAAAAATCTTTTATAAACAGAAAAAAAAGACGAGTTTGCCCGAAAACATGTAAATAAACCCTTAACGTTTTGGGAAAATGTGTTGTTTTTAGATGAAAGCAAGTATAGTATATTTGGATCTGAGAGAAAAAAATATGTTTGGAGGAAAAAAGGAAAGGCATTTGAACACCAAAATTACAACCCACAGTGAACCAGGAGGTGGCTGTGTCATGGTTTGTGGCTGTATGAGTTCCAAAGGAGTAGGTGAACTAGCCTTCATTGAAGGGATTATGAATGCTGACAAATATGTGGATGTGTTGCGATGCAATTCAAATAAATGTGTGCAAAAGTTAGGAATGGATGACACAATGTTTTTGGCCACTGTAAGTATAAATTTTCCAACTAGAAACATCACTAAAATAACATTACTCAAAAATATTGAAATTGGAGTTAGTCATTCTGTCAATTGTAAGGTTCAGACACCGAAGTTATGTGGTTTATAAAAGCAGAGGGAGTAACTAGATTTTTATTGCGAATATTTTTATATGCGAATATAATAAATTTAGCGGAGCTTTAGCTCCGTTTAAAATGCACTTCAAAAATTTTATAATAGCCCAACATTGCCAGAAAATAATTTCTATTCAAAGTAGGGTGGTAAGTGAAAGTTGTGTGTTACGCGTACCAGACTATTTTATTCAAAATAAATAATTATCTGCTAAAACCAGACTAGTACTCGTTTCCAGGACATAGCAGCACAGTGTCTGAATTTAAAAAAAAAATTATTTAGTTTTATTCCGTATTTAAAGAGAGTTCATTCAATAGTTTCTGAAAACAAAATATGCATTTATGTATATATCCATGCATATTTTGTTTTGGTAACCTTGTTTCTTACCTTAAATTTTTTTTTCCATTTTGAAACATCAAAAAGAAAATAATGGGGAAATATGTATGTGTATAAATATGATAAGTTCCTAAACTCAGCGCTGAACTCGTCGGTGGCATCTTTTCGCCCAATTTAGAACGATGAGTTCAGCGCTGAATTAAGAAACTTGCCCCATGCATTGTTAAAATTATAAACCTTTTAAAATTATTATTCTTACAAATATTAATATTCTTGTATGATTTCATTCATTGATATGACATCGATGGTTGCACTAATTTTATTAATTTCATATTCTTGATTAATTTAATTTTTTTAAATCTTTAAACATACGATTTATATTCTTTTCTACGATTTTTCAAGGAGCCTGGGTACAAGGATTTACGATATTTAAAAAAAAAATATGATACTAGTATTTTTTATTATTGAGGGGTGGTAAGACTGACATACTGCACCGTCAACTCATTCTAGGGTCAGATGTGAACCGATGCGCTTCATAACAATCATATTAATTCAGATATAACTGAAGTATATTGCTGTTGATAAGAACTTAAGAATTTACAAATCTTTGAGAAATAACGAGAAAGCTTTTCAGTTATTACAAAATAAGGTAATGACGGATTTAATAAATGTTTATTTTTAAATTAACCATAATTCAGTGAATGAAATTATAAAACTAATAGAATGTACATAAATATTTAACAATCTATCTATGATCTATTAGAAGAGAGAATAAATGCAAATTGAAATATTCTCTAAGATATCATTGTTAAAACTTTAAACCCTACGTGTCTATGCAAGCTCGAAAATTGTACTTCGCCCTTACATCACAGTCAGCTATGAACCAATGCATTTCGTAATAATGAAATTTATTTATTATTCGTTATTATTTATTTAATTTTGTATTCATTTTGAAATATGTTAATTGCTACTCCT